TAGCCTAGCCTAGCCTAGCCCCGACAAGGGACGGCGCGCGGGAGCTTGCTGATTGGCTCTTCGGAAGCCCACTTTCTCCGCGGGCCACACTGATATTATACCTTCATTTTAAGGTGAGGGGCCACAAAATATTGTACTGCGGGCCGCACTTGGCCCCCGGGCCGCGAGTCTGAGACCCCTGCTCTAAGGATTTATTATGGATATTAATAATTAATGACACAGTAAGTGTAGGTAATTTATTCACAAAAACTATACCAAAAAAAAACAACAACAACAAAAACAACAACACAGGTCAGTGTGATCACAATGATTAACCCCACACAACAGAAACAGAAAACAGACAGACCTAACCCTTTGAACAATAACCCTAATAGCAATCCATTCGTATTCCTTGGATGCCCCCTGTGGTGACTGGTCGACGTCTGTATTTAAAAAGCACAACGCATTGATATTTACACTGCATCTCTGTTCTCACCTCCAATTATCACTTCAGCTCATTCATATATATATATATATACACACATACATACATATATATATCACTTATTTCCCACCTGCTTCCCACCTGCTTTGGGTGCATACATTTCCACATAATTTTTTTTTTGTACACATTTTCTGCCTCATGACTGAGCCGGAGCGCACACTAGGTATAACATGGTAGGGAATTCACCCAGGACAATTTTTGCAATATTTAAACAGCATTTTGAAGGAATTGCAGGGCAATTTGTTCATCGTGTCAAATGTAGCACAGTGCTCCATCCTGCAGGTAAAATAGTAGATGTAATAGATGTTAGACCAGTAAGGAGAAGTCCTGTATGAATTTCCACAATCGCAACCATCACAGATGGATTTAACAACACCAGTTCCAAGAGAAATTAGTTTTATTGATAATTTAAACTCTGTGGTAAAACAGCCCTAGTGTTGGAGCATCAAGTGACCTCATACAGCTCTGAGACACACTGCATGCTGTGTTATTTATGGCATGGGCCCCAACCCCTGGTCTGGGGACCACTGCTGCTCCGTAGGTCATTAGGTACCGGGTCGCAGTCGGGCACTGTGAAAAAATATATTTCAGTTTTACTAATTTACTTCATTCAAAAAGAATCCAGTCATAACCTTTTACGTTTTTCATTAAAAGATAATCTGGCAATGTTTCAAAACAATACAGACTCCGATACTAACAGAATAAGGTCTAAAAGATTGTGTTTTATTTTGGAAATTTAAGGATCCTTCAATGATGGCAGGGTATTACCAGTTTGTAGTAACAGCTAATTCCAGCCTACCAGTTCTTGGTACAAAAAAAGGTCGGTGACTGCTGCTTTAGGGCAATTTGTTCTGGCATATGAAGTTAGGAGATAACGCTTCTAACCACCTTAAGCCTGCTGCAGCTCAGCAAATAATTAAAAGGGAGAACAAACAACAGCCGATTGACAGGCTCAAATAAAGCTGTGTGTTTAGATAGCTGTGTAGTGTAAGATTCTATATCCTGTTACTGACTTTACAGCTTATGACGGCATGTCCATCTCCCAATTATGATCCTCACAGCCGTGGTGTCATGACATGCTAGTTAAAGCCATTTGTTCTATCTGCTTGTGGCTTCGCTTTTAAGACAGTTCAACAAAAGCATCAACCATTATCTGCCACTTCCTTACTGGCTGTTTCAGATAGGCCTTTGTGTGGCTCCACTCTCAGCAAGCTGCGCTGTCTTTGTCCCCTCACAGAGAGCAGTGTCCCGCAGAGTCCTGTCTTCACCAAGCAGCCTGGCAGCATTGTGTATCCTGTGGAAAACCTAGAGCGGAGCAGAGAGGTGGTGTTTAGCTGCGAAGCCCAAGGAAGCCCAGCTCCTCTTTATCGGTGAGTGTGAGATTACAGCGCCGCGGTTACCTTGGCTCACTACATATTCTTCTCCTCTGGTTCTGATTCCCCTGGCCTCTCTGCAACTGCCACTGTGACAAGCCTTTAATTTGAAACAGCTGATCACAGGCTTCATCTTCACCTCACTTTATGTTATTTGAAAATGTGATAAATATTCTGAATAGTGTAGATTGTAATTCTGTATTTGGATAGAAACACTTTTGGTTATTTTCTTATTTACTGTGCCACAGATGTGGTATGTGGTAGATATGGTATATGTAAGATACTGAGCAAACGTCAGTGCTTATTTAAGTGTGTTAAAAGTGGCCCAGAGCTTTTGATATGGAAAATGAAATGTTCTTGGACGTCAGTGGATACAAATGGGCTAAAGCCTCACTCTACTGTGACATATGTTTTGGGGAAATAATGTTTAGTTGCGGGGACATTTTATCAAATTTTGTAAACTATTTCCTCTTTTATTTACTTTTTTTTTGCTGTTAGCTAACCAGGGGCATTTCTAAAGACCCCAGGCATAAGAGCCCCTGTGGGCCGCATAACTGAATTCAACTGAAGCGAGCTGGTGGCACTCGGCCTAATTAGGGGATTTTCAAATCATCGTGTCATGTCACTCTTGTATATAACGAAGCGTTACCGTTAATTTCCCTCAAAATTACCATTACTGCGTTGTATGGAGTAATATATTCTACTGTGCTTGGGTGTCGTCTTTTAGCTTAAGGCCTTTGGCAACTTACAGTACCTGGAACTGTTGCAGATCCCCAACGGCCCAGTGTGTTGTCTCCTAATGCAAACTGACTAGACATTGCAGAGATTTACCAAATTTTGAAAAATTATACACATAAAGAGGAGGAGATCAGGTTTTGTCCAAACCCCAATCAATGAATCCTGTGCAACCTAAAACCCTTTGATCACATCACCCAAAACATAAAAGGAATAATGGCGCCAAGCTTAAGAACAAACAGGAACAACAAAACAAAATGACCATTTTTCTTTGCTAACTCTGCATTTGTAATATTTGATATTGATTAGAAAATATACAGCCAACATGGATTTTATATTTCTGGGATTCAGGTCTTCTGCGTTTGACCGTAATCACACATCTCCATGCAGTAAATGACATCACTCCCCCCTGTCCTTGATAGGATCAGAGACCACAGTAAAACAATACCATCATTTTGTCCTGAGAATCTTCTTTCCTGGTTATAAGGCAATATTATAAAACGTTTTTATCAAAGGTACATATACAGCTAATGTTCCAACAATGAACTGTTTTTCTTTTTGAAACATTAGAGAACCCTGCAGTGACTTCTCACTAACAGCATCTTCCTTGTTATCCGTGCTTTGTAGAGTCCTATTAGTCATACTGAATGTGAATTACCTGTCACAGTCGAGCCAGTCCACTCAGCACCAAGTGGGAATATTATTATTATTATAAGTTTTTTTTAAACAAGTCCTTGTTTAAAAAAAATTGGTTTAAAAGTTTTCATTATTCTGAGGGCACTGTTAAAAATTTAGCTAGATTTCCATTGCTACCTTCAAAAACTACTACTACATTTCATTAGATTTTTTTTGTTTGTTTTTAGTAGACATTAAATGTTTTAAATTTAAAGGATAACACGATGAAGGTTATGACTGTATCTAATATAATATGACAATATCTCATAGAGAACATAAGACTAGTTGGTAAAGAGAATTGTCTGACAGGTTGACAATCATCGGTCAGCAAAGCAAAATATTTTTTTTTCAATCATTAAAGTGATGAAATGACAAAAAAAAAACCAAAGATTTCATATTACTATTTTTATTCCTGACAGTGTGACAGTGGTCTGTGAACTACTCACGAAACCTCTGTCCTTGAATCAGAATCTGAAAAGTTCTAATCTGACGGAGCCTTCGAAAGCTTCACTGACCACAGTTCCATTTCTGTTTACTTTGTCAGAGGTTTCACTTTGTGATTCATTTCATTGTATTGACATTGCAGAAATAGCCGTGTCTGAGTTCTGTCACATAATCCCGGACATTGTTCGCGTGTCTTCCTTTCATTCTGGAAGTGACCTTTGTCAGGATTTATCTTCTTTATACATAAAGACAACCTTCCTGTATTGTTCTTTCTATTTTAAGAAAAAAAAAAACTTCATCCACTCAGTACAAGTCGAACTTAACTGTCTTCAAGAAGACTATAAATATATAAATAATATAAAAATATAAAAATTCAATTTTGCGGCCTAAGAAATGCATCAAGAAGAAACTTTGATTTTCTTTTAGAATTAAATTTTAATTTATATGTACATATAGAATAATTCTGTGCACGGGAAAAAGTCAAACTTTTTTGTAGCAAATGTGAATTTCTGTGATAGTCAGATGACTATCAGACCGATCGTTTGCTTATTAGCCTGTTTAAAAATAAGGTGATGAATGTGAAAAGCACAGCTTGGCATCGTTGGCTTTATCGGTGTGATTCACAAAATGTGTGAAAAGCCCACATTCAGTAAAGACTCCATGGTTAGAGCCAGGCACCGACTGTGGGGTAACAGTCTCTGAAGGATTTTCCGTCTGTTCCTCGGAAACTTCACAAGTACAAAACCAAATAAAACACACGCTACTGAAAAAAAATCTGAGAGAAAACAGTAAAAAACAACTGCTATCTCTGAGTTATGATCTGGTCTGACTGCTACAGCCTGGGAAAATAGAAACAGAGCATCACAGTCCATTAAGTCCAATAACAATTACAATAATTATTAGCACATGACACAGAGGGTCCTCGACATATGTCAGAGTTCTGTTCCTACAGTGCGACATAACTCGATTTTTCGCTCTGAGCCTGAACCCACATTCTGTACATAAGCACCTGTGTCACTCATCTGAGCTCACACAGTGGTGACATCAAAAAAACAACACAAACGAAAGAAAGTAAATAAAGCACAATTCAGTGTATCACCGTACCACAGGAAAATGTAAATAAAGCCTTCTTTTGTGTATAGTGATGCGTTACAAAGTCTTTGTCTGCTCTGCACGTTAATTAGTTCACGTTTTAGTTCACTGTACATCGAGATGATGGAACAAGACTTCCCCTAATACATATATGATAGATGGTGACAAAACGTAGTAAGTCGAAGAAATCGCAAACCGAGGAAACCTTGTACTAGGGCAACATTTCACCTGTTCTCCTTAAGCAAACCTAATTTTTTGCTGTGACACCTATAGGCCTAACAGTATATGACACGTTTGTTTTTGTCCACACAAAAAAGCTACTATTAAACAAACGAATAGAATTCGTAAAGGTGTTTTTTTTAATTTTTTTGCCGCTAATGTGCATTTGAAGATTAAAATTCAGTAATGTTACTACAAATGTTAACATTTACAGATCCTACCATAGGAGAACAAAGAAATCTTGTGTCTTTTGAACGCTGCTGAGTTTCCTACTTGGACGTGACATTTAAATATGATATTTGGACTGTGAAGAAAAGCTGATAAAAAAACAACCACCTCTGTAATCTATACACACACACTGGAGATTTTTCCATTTTTTTAAATAGACGTGTCCTGAAGCTTTTGAATCTCTGTTTATGAAGGCTTCCAGCTGGGAACAGTTCTCTTCTCTTAAAACAGACAGATTTTCCTTTACTGACCCAAATCAGGGTGAAGCGTCATCATCAATACTGTCTGACATCAAAGAGAGGGAGTTCCTGCCAGAGCCTCTTTCAACAGTTTAGTGTGATGTACAACGCATGCTCAATAATTTAGCATGGCCTTTTAAAGGTGCTATAAAACTGAAAAAGACCTTTGATGAGGTGAAACCCTTAAATCCTGATCTTAAGAGCAACTTTTATTGGAAAACTAATAAAGCCAATAAAATTATACATGAGCACGTAGTAAGTACTGTAGTGGCAACGGCAGCTTTTATTATTTAAGTTAAAGCTAATGAGTGTTTAATGCAGCAACATGTAGTGGTGAAGCCTCTGCTTATTTTCATCAGCCTTAACATTTGAATGCAATTAGACACAATAACACCAGGCAATCAATGCTTTGGATTTGAAGCCAGTGGAGTTTAATTACTGTCTGTTGTTTGAAAGAGGAAGACATTAATGTTCCAGTGCAGCAATAGTATTAGGAAGCATGTTCAGTACAGGACTGATGGCTTGGTGGTTAAGGAAGCAGACTTGGCTCTGGAGGGTTTTAGGTTTGGGTCCACCAGCTGCCAATTTGCCACTGAGCATGGCACCATCCCCACACACTGCTCCCCTGAGGCCTCATGTACGAACGTACGCACGAAAAAGTTGCGTGCTTCCTTTTCCATGCTCATGTTCAGATGTATCACTGAATAAACTGAAATGCAGCAGAGGCGGTTGTTACTGGAGCTCAAAGCTGCGGCCGGCTCTAGAGTGCAACACGGCCAGGGGTTGACGGTGCCCACACAGCATTCAAGTGTGGCAAATTATCTTTGAAAACCTTAGGATTCTTGTACATTTCATTTAAATTAGAGGAAGAGGAAGTTCCAGAAGAATGATCCTGAATGTTTGCAGTGGTTTGTAGTTTGTACTTGTGTAGTGTTAAAAACTGCAAAACACAGCTCCAGTCTACGTACATCCTGCTCCCTGCACGTAAATAAACTCACACATCGTCAAGTCTCAGTGGTGTTACACTTTTACACCAGCGGAGACTTGGGCTGTTACTATCTGAGATGGAGTCCATATCTTCAAAAACAAATTAGCGTTTTTTATTCAAACACTAAAGCAGTGGGTTTAAGAAAAGCAACAGACTGCCTCGTGTTCACAGCTTCATGTGCCAGATGGCAGAGTGTTATGGTACTGTGTGCTCAGCCTGTTGTTACATGATTGTATAAAGCATGTGCTTAACAAATTGAGCTGCTGCTGTAGTCTGTCTGCCAATGTAAATCAGTGTAAATAGAATTATGGAATAATCTAGTTTACATGTGTTTAATGTGATCTGTTATTCTGGATGCAGATGGGCTACGTTTTGGAATCGGGTGTTGCTGCCCACAGTGGTCGCCTTCAGTGTTCCCTGCAACAATTCAATTTGTGTCAATTAATTTAGTACCACAAATATCTGTCAGTTAACGGTTCTAATGTACTGAGCTAACTAGCTTATAACAACACACATTTTTATGGGCTCTTTACTTTGACACAAAATTGCAAACATTTCTGTACCCAAGGGGAGGTGGGGCGGGGGGGGGTAATTGAGAACCACTGTATGAGAAATTAAGTGTTTGGACAATATTGATATATCGGCATCGGATATCCGCAAATAGTTAATACATACATTGTGCTAAATTTGTTTTGTTTTTTTGTTTGCACCGTAGGTTGAGGACACATTGTGCCATAGGCTGCAGGGAACATTCATAACATTTTCTTGTCCCACTAAGTTTGTCGGCCTGATTTCTAGTGCAGATAAATATCAAATAAAAATAAATAAATTTGTACTATATTGGTCCCATATTTGTTAAACTGTTGTGTCTACAGCAGATATGCTGTTAACAGGCTGCCCCTAGCAAGTGCCAAGCATGTGGTTCCTCTGGGAATTCAACCGAGAACTCTCTGCTCCCGAGGCAGACATGCTTACTGCTACACTGTGGAACCGACTCCATACATACTAAATACAACAAATCAACAGCTTTAGATGAACCATTTTGTCACAACATTTTCAAACCCTGCTCAATTAAACCATCTGTGCCTTCAAAAAACACATTTCAGTGACAGGATCCACTTTAAAACAGAAAAGAAGTCATAAACCCTCCCACAATCTTCTCCCGTTCCTTGCCACTTAAAGACTTTGTGTGTTTTTGTTTCACTCTTCCTCGAAACAAATCGCTCTTAGCACTCCCACCTGTCAGCACTGCCATCTAGACTCTTCTCTTTTGTGTGTTGTAATAAAGCTCCAAAGAGGTTGCACTCACTTGAGAAAGTCGAGACCACGAAAGGAACCTGAATGTTTTCAGTGAGCTGTAGAGAAAATTCACTTCAGTTGACATTAAGCCTGTTAAAAATGAAGTCAGATCATGAGTACTGTAGCATCCAACCCACAAAGGTCTCACTGATCTTTTTTGGGGGGGTTACATGCTGTCATCCCTCCCCTTGTGACTCATATAATGGTCTCACTGCAGATGCAGAGCATTGTGCTGCATTTAACCCCATAAAAGAATTTGTATTATATTTACTACACAGGATCCTGAGTGGAGAACCCAACTAGGATGTTTCCAGAACGTTGGACGAATTGTCGGCCCCTCTCCCGTTCACTTCGCTCTGCGTCGTCATTATTCAACTCTACTGGGCATATAATTGTGTGGAAAAGGGTAATACAGTCTAGGGAGGGTTGATGTCAGTGTGGGGGAGGTTCATAAAGAGTAAATATATACGTAAATAATATAAAAACGATCTCACTTCTACTTTGCGATTTTTCCCATTCTGTTACTTGGAACGCAACTACTGCAATAGGAGAGGGATCACTGGACACAACTTTTCTTAGGAAAGTTCTCCTCAAAGAAATAATCAAACATCCAAATGACCTCTGGCCTTAATCAAACCTGTATTGTCTTATTTCAGCTGGGTGATAACATGCTTTATTCATGCCTGTTTATCTGTGCAAAACTATTATTAGCTTGATTGTTAGACATCTCTGCTAACAAACAACACTCCAAGTTTATTGTGCCCTGACTGAAAATAAGGTACGGCCTTGAAGCGTTTTTTTTTTTTCTTTCTGATTTTTCCTCCCACTTGTGTTTCCTTCTAATAAGACACATCTGTGTGGGGAGATTGGAAAGTCTGTTTCTCTTTTAAGTGAATTACACCCTTGGTTGGTCATCCCGGAACACGGGCGATAATCACATGACAGGCATGTACACGTTTGGAGGCATGGTTGCGGGCATTTGTTTTAATTGTTGTTTTATCTTGATTAAGCAGCATGTTTATTCTCTTTGACTGGGCTCTGGTAAGATGGATGGCCTGCATTACTATCTATTCTCACAAATCGAGTCCTCCACAACAGAGAGGTTCAAACTCAGCTGCGAGGCATGATTTCTGGGCCCAGTTTAATTTCTTCCCTGTTGAAAAGAATTAAATGAACCAATCTTGCTGTAGTCACTGTGCTTCCATGGTCTGGGCTTACACTGAACAACGTTCTGTTTGTTGGTCTCTTTTCTTATCCTTCTGTGCAAACTCTATTCAGTATGTTAATGTCTGGCAGCAAATCACTTAAGTTTTATGGCCCAAAACTCAGCTCTCTTCATCCTATCTCTGGATAATCACCATCAGACATCACAAAGTCGAGGTTGGTGAGGTGAAAACAAACTGTTCACCAGTTAAAAGTTAAAAAAATCTCCCTCAGGAATAAGTGCAAACCAAACGAAGTGGAAAAACTAAGAATCAGGGAATAGATTAATTAGTTAGCTACAAATATAACCTGCTCTACGCAGGGATGGATTCAACGGAGATATTTTGGCAAGAGGATTTTTAAACCATTTTAACTACAGCAGAAGTATGTAATAACTATGTAGTTATTGCCCTGTGCTACTGGGGGGGGGGGTGTGCCCAAATAACAACTTGGTATCAACTGTCTTAGAGTGGAATTATAAGCTGAGTTGATGGCCACATGTTAAAATGTGTCTGATTTTTAATCAGATACATCAATCAATAACTCACACTGTCCATACAGTCATTGTTGCTGTAACAATGCACACACTGGTATTTGCTTACATGATTGTCAGAAGTATTAGTACAGACTATAGACTGATTTATGATGTTGAGCTTTATTACAGTTTAGAACGTTGCAGCTTTAGATATGTTCTACCAGTCACTATCAAGATGCACCGTGGGAACTAAAATCCCAATTCTATGAAGCTAAATACATCCACCTGCAGTTTTTTTTTCTTCCAGAGCCATACCGAATTTGTTTTTGTTGATTTATCCTGATTAATCATGACAAAAATCACGATTAATTACCATCATCACCAATCAAGACGAGTCATGATTAATCTACTGCTACCCTGTAATTAATTAGACAGATTAATCAGACAGGAACAGCCATCAGTCCATTGACGGCTCATCCTGCAGGGACAGTATTCTAGTTTCTTTACAGACTTTATCATTACATAAACTCAACTTTCTCTTTATTTCCATTGAATTGCTTTTCCTGCCAAACTCTCAACATTCTATCATGACCTAAATCACCACAAGTCAGACGCTGTCGGACAACTGGCATTTTAATTTGCTCTAATATCTATCATTTGTGTCGTTCTAAAATCTTTGAAAAACTCTCAAGTAAAACCAAAAATGGACAAAAATAAATTATACGGAAAGAAAGGAAAGTTGTCATTGTGACACAGCTCACCACTGCACACAACAAATTGTGAACTCTGCTTTTAACCCATCACCAAAGTGAACAGTAAATAGACCTTAAGCGGACCGACGCCTTTTATGGACTAACAATGCAACTCTACAATCACATTTAAAAATGTTTTCTTGTTTTACTGTTTTTCTAGGTGGAAACTGAATGGCACAGAAATCAGCCCTAAATCTGGATCTCACTACAGCCTCTCTGGCGGCAACCTCAGAATCAACCACCTGAACAAAGACCAAGATGCTGGAACGTATCAGTGTCTGGCCTCCAACTCTTTTGGAACCATTGTCAGCAGGGAGGCCAGTCTAACCTTTGCTTGTGAGTCTCGTTTTTTTCTAAAGTCATACTTTTCCTCTCTGTTTGTGGTCTCAAACGAAAGTTTGTTGTTTTGTGCAGGCTCATATATAAGCTTCTGTTGGTCTCAGGGGTATAAGCGCTCTGTGTCGTGACTTTATTCTGAGTCATCACTGAGTTCAAAGTAACGCTCCAAAAATAAACTTGACTGTAATGTTTATTTATGCCTTAACTGATCAACACAAGTTTTACTGATTTAGAGATTTGATCGTTAAATCCTTATGAATCCTTAAGTAATACTGTTGTTTGTTCCATATATATCTTTATATCTTTAGTAGGTTAGACCAGTGGGAGCTGCCAGGAGGTTGGGGACAGGGGGATGCTAGAAAATTGGAGGGAAGATAAAAAAAATAATTTTTTTAAAAATGTATTCATTTAAACAGCCATTAAGTCTGACATGAGACATCGAACTGTTCTTTCTTTTTTTTTAACTGTTTCCAACATTGTTGAGCCTCATTGTCCAAACACTCTCTACTTATTTCCAAGTAAACACCACCAGACATCACAGAGACAGGATAAGTGATGAGCTTTTTAAATCAGAGGAGCTTCTGGCAGTTAGGACTCAGTTATTTCCCACAGGAGCAACAATTAGCTGCAAACTGAAACGTTGAAAGTATCAACTTGTTTGCGACTACAGAGCTTGAAGAGTTCTGTAGGGATTGTAACTGGTTCCTTTCGCTAGCATAGTCAACAAAGTCACACAGATGTCGGGAATGAGGGATGAATGGGTTGTGAAAATCTTGCTTGCTGACAGCAAAAAAAAAAAAATCCGCAGGCACCACTCACTTCATCTCAGTAGATATTCATTATTATAACATATTCAGATTCATAACTTCCTCAGTCTGTAGTAGAGCTGTAGCACCAATCAATCAACCACTGATCCGTCCTGAAGCTGAAGCTAACATGTCATTAGCTTGGAGGTAGCTTACAGTGAACCAGGAAACCTCAAGGCTAACATTTTGTAATGTATGTAGCAGTGAGGTTAACTGTGGGGGAGCCCCCTGGAGGTAGTTCAGAACTACAAACCTAATCCTACCATTCAACACTTTCCAAAGGCTTATGGCATAGGTGTTTTTAAAGTGAGTAAAGACAGCAGGAGGAGAGAAGCAGCAGGAGGAGAAAGTCGACAGAGGACCAGCAGGAGAAAGTAGATGGAGGGAAGCAGCAGTGGACAGAAAAGAGCAGCAGGATGAGAAGGTAGAAAGAAAAGGAACAGCAGTGTTTAATCAGCAAAAAAGTTCACTTCATGGAAAGTTCATGAATGTGACGTTTGCTCTGTACAGCTCACGGTCATGTTTTTCTAAGTTTGGAATTATTATTATTAGGTTATTTTGAGACAAAGGAATAATAAAAATGCATTGTTCTTATTTCACCTCAAAGATTTGTCATACTGCAGATTTGGCATGTCAAAAGCTTTTATTTGTCATAAAGTTGTGTACACAGGAACCCATGTTCAGTCAGTGTCTCATTCGAGTCACCAAGCACTTTATTTTGAAAGTCAGCTGAAAGAAATCAAAATTGTCAAAAATCTGAAAATGGTATCTCTCCAAAAATGGCAATTTTACTATATAATTATATAATAGGTATTTTACATAATTAGGTATTTTAATTATAATTAGGTATTTTAATTATAATTAGGTATTTTAGTGTAATAAAATAAAAATATTCAAATAAAAATAATGGCTTTTCTGGAAAGTAAAAGGTTTCATTATCTTAGCCGTTAGCTTTCCTTTTAAAGTCATTAGCTTCGTTTAAATTTAGATTCAGTTTTTTATACATTTACATAAAGAATTAGCACACATTAAATTTACAGTGAATGTACTACAGGACTAAACATGACTGATAAATACCTGATGTACTGGAGCTTCATATACAGTATATGAGGAAACACTTCAAGAATGAAAGTGTCAGATCAAAGTGTCCTTCGAGGACGAGTGCTTTAATGAATTTAACAACAGTGATGTACTGTATGAAATTAGTCACCGGACGAGTCCAAAACAAATGCCCAGGTTTGTGGATAAATGTTTTTAATTACTCGTTTCAGGTAATTATCTCCTGCGAGCACCCTAAACTGTGAGACTGATGAGACTAATAAGTGACAGAGTTTGAACTTCATATTCCTCAAGCAGCGGGAAAGTCAATATGTGCCAACTGTACGTGCCAGTTATTGGACAGGCATAAATGATGACATTAACAACCAGTGAGTGATTGGTGGCTCAGATAAGATTTGCAGGTTTAGCGTTTAGAGATGAGGCCACCAATATGTCTCAGGCCATTCGTTTTGGTCTCCTGGGCCAGTGTCAGGTCAAATCCCTATCAGATTCTGCTGCTGGAATTCCACCACAGTGAGATGACAGTTCAATCAATTGTTGGGCTCTGACCTTACCAGCCTTCAGTTGTCATAGAGTCACAATGTGCGTTATGGCCAAGTGTCATCTATCTTCTTTATTGCTCTTGGTGTAGCTTAATTAACTCCACAGCATGATTGAACGCCGAAGGTTCAAGCGAATAATTTAAAGGTCAACTGGTATTACTGGGACGTGTCATGTAATTCTTCATAGAAATTTAGAGGAAATAAAGTACATGAATCCTGAGCTGCTGCAGGGCCACAGGCAGAGATGTTCTTCTCCTTTTGACACACACACACACACACACACTACCAGACACGACACACTCTGTGTGCATGTCATGATTCAGGGTGTTTCATATTTCTCACCTGTAAAGGTCACAACCTTTTGGTGATAATCAGTTCAGTGCTTTTTCTGTAATTTTGACACGAGATAGACTTCAAGCCAATTTATGCTCCGTAAAGCCCTAAAATACACCACACCTGAAAAGACAGGCAAAGAAAACAAATAAATTAGATTTTTTCTGTCGTAACTTCTTACTCTTTATTACATTGGGCAGAGCGGAATGTACAACAAAACACCTGAGATGTATTTTTTGAAGCATTAAATTAAAGTTGCATAAAATTTGTAATAATAAAGGATATAGCTTTGTCATCTGCACCAAATGTTTACCTCATAGTCAAAGGTTCAAAGAAAATATAGTTAATATTTTAGCTGACAAATTCACTGCAGTAATTTACTGCATAGTCACAAAACACTGAAAGATGGGAGGATACATTTACTACGATATACTGTAAAAAAATAAGTCACATGATCGCAGCCGTCAATCAAGATGTGTCGAGGCTGTAAAACACAGCTCTAAGCTAAGGCTTCTGGTCACATTTACGTTTTAAAACATTGTCCAACATGAACCTCGAAAGACCTGAAAGTAAAGTGTTATCCTAATTTAATACATAATTACAGTATATGAAATATAGAAGCTAAATCAAAAATAAAATTATGGCAACTTTCCAGGCAGTACTACTGCAGTCCTACTGTAGTACATTTGACAATATTAGGTCTAAAGTCCGTTATGACCTACAGTACGAGTTTGTAGGACAAACAACTTTGTGGTAGACAATGGATTTATTTTATTCATATTTGTTAGTTTACATGCTCCACAGCAGCTCCAAGGTTATTTTTTTTCTCCAATTGGCGTTTGTCCAGGTAGCTTAGCATCCGTCACTGCGTCACAAACTTTTGATGGATGATGCTGCTCCTAACTGGGGCCGTGGCTGTCTTCCTCCTGAGGCAGGGATAACTGATGGCCAGTGGGCGCCACAACTCAATACTCCGTGCCCTTGATTAGTCTGTCTATTGATTCTGTATCAGTGATTATGTAAAAGATGCCAACCCATAATTCATACTGATGAAAGAGCTGCGTATTCAATATACACTCACTGTGAACAGGTGCCACAGTGAAAGGCTGCGTTTCCTGCAATGCCACTCCGTGACAGAGATGTCAGAAGGTCCAGGGACAAACACATTCTTCCAAAATAAAAACTGGTATCAAAATTTACTTTGTGCCATTTGGGTATTTCTAGAAACAAAACTCATATCTTGTTCACTGTATAGCGTGGGTATTTCTGATGTCACTACAGTAGGTCTTAAAGCCTTGGGGGAGGAGAAGACGATCTCATTTAAATGCATACAAATCCTCTACACTCCTCTCATCTGCTGTGATAATGTGGAATGAGTGTATTGACTTAGTTAATGAGGTGTAAATAGCTAATGGGTGTACTCCGGTTTTACTTTCTTATCTGCTGTAGACTATCAAGCTATTACCTCTGGGAACTTTCAATAAAATGGCCAAATACTCCCAGTATTTACAGTATCCTGCTTCCTGGGGAACAAAATCAAATAGAACCTGAGGAAGGTCTGTTTATTTCAGGAGTCAACAACGGTTCTGAGAAGTCCAAAGAACTTGTGTTTGATAAAACAAAATAAGTACAAATGTGTTGTTCAAAATGACTTTATTCTTTCACAGTAAGGCTTACCAACTATGAATAGTCTAAAATGGTGGTTCTCAAATATAGCAGTTTTACCCCAGATGTCAATTTATTGCAGACAAGGATTTTGATCACTTCTGCATACTTAGGTTTTATAGAGGTTTGATGAGAATCCAGTGCTACAGGATCCAAACTATGTTTTAATCTGGTAACATATGGCAGAAGACGCTGTTTTAGTGTCATCACTGCAGAGAATATAGTGCAGTTTTTAATTTATATTTGTATTTTTATAATTTGGACTTCATTTCAAAGGTTGAAATTCTTTCCTAATACATGCTAGTGGTGAATATAGTTTAGAGGCTGAATTTGCAGCCAAACCTTTCCGTGTCTTAAAGGATTGTTTTCTAAATAATTGACACCAATCAGGAAATGATCGTATTCTTCCTCAGTTACTTCCTAACTAGATGAGTTTAAATCTCAGTTGCAGTCAAGTCATGAGCCTTGATGTTTTTTTAGATGTTGAAAACGTGCCTTCAGCATGGACAAGAGGACATCTGTGGACATGGGCCGGGACACCCAGGTTTTAGTGGAGCTCACATCACCACTTCACAAATCACAACAGCTTTGA